CACATTTAGGTTTAGTTTTCACATCACATCATATGGACGCAAAACGAATTCCCATAAGAAGAATCGCAAATATATTCACCAAGTACTTTCCTTAAATTACATGATGATCTTGTCCTGAAAATGCTGTCACATGCTTTATTTTGTTGCCAAGAAGAAGAGGTGACAATTTACCCCGTTTTTTCAAAACAAGCAACTGTATCTCGTTTTGAAACGCACACCATGTGGAATCGGGAATCGAGCACCGATGGAGAATCTCCATCCTGAATGATTTGCTATGATCTCCAGACAGCTAAGAGGCTGTTAGCGGTAGCAGACCTCAGATATCTCCATCGCCAGCTCTATCAGCTCACTGGCATCTTGACAGGAGTTCATGAAACCACAGTCAAAATCCACGTTACAGCTGCAGCAGTCTTTTCCTTTGGACGGCTCATCCGAGGTGTTGTAATACTTGTAAGAGGGGAAGCAGCGGCCAAACGCCCGCTCACAAGTGTCAGGCAGCATGGCCATAACATCACAGAAGCGGCAGTACAGGCAAGCCAGCAGGATGGAGGCGCAGTCATCTGGAGAGACGGAAATCAACAAATCAAGCATGTTTCAGAGACACTGGAGAAAATGGGAGCCTTGCTTGGCTATGCAGAACTTGAAAGGTGGTCAGTTGGGTTATTTTTCAAATGTTGTGGGCCCATGTAGACTCACAGCTGGTTATATACATTGCTACACACACTCAACAATCACAAGAGACATGGCAAGTTGGGCTCAAAACAGGGTCGGCTCATGGGTTTGTGGGGCCCAGGAAAGAGCATAAAAAATTAATTAAACATGACATTTTGAAGTAGAGAGTCTAAAATAGTGTTTTCTTTTAAAATATAATTGAAAAATAATTTTCACGGTGCATATACACAGAGCAGATCTTTCGTATACAGTATATACAGTTTAGTTATTGTACAGATTAATTGCCCACATTTTTCTCTAGAATCAGAATGAGCTTTATTGCCAGGTATGTTTACACATACGAGGAATTTGTTTTCGTGACAGAAGCTTCCACAGTGTAACAGAATGACAGTGACATAACAAAAAACACATAATAAAAAAGAAAAATAAATAAAAAATAGAACAAGTAAAATAAGGAATAAAAAATATACAAATCGACAATTGTATGTACAGGTATATAACAATAGACAGTTGTATGTACAGGTATATTATGTGCAAATTGAAATGTAGACTGAGTGTGTGTGTTAGATAAATAAGTGTATGAGTGAATAAATAGTGTGTGTTCCACAGTTATTGTTAAGTGTTCATGAGATGGATTGCCTGAGGGAAGAAACTGTTCCTGTGTCTGGTCGTTCTGGTGCTCAGAGCTCTGTAGCGTCGACCAGATGGCAACAGTTCAAAGAGGGAGTGTGCTGGATGTGAGGGGTCCAGAGTAGGGCAGTGCGATTTGGGGGAAAATATCAAATTGCGATTTTTTTTGACAGATATTGCGATTTTAAATTTGCAAAGTCAAGCTTCAGCTCAATATTGTCAATAATGTGCAGCACAGTATGGGTAACATTACCCTGCTGAAAAAAACAATAGAAACCATCACAGAAATTCTTATAGTTTCCATTAAACCATTACAAAATTCCTTTTTTTTGGGGGCATTATTCCTATAGGAATTACTGTTGTTCTATTGGTTGCCATCTGCCAGATTACATCCCACCAATAGAATCCATCAAATACTAGTAGACACCATTATAGTTTACATTAAAACCAAACAAATTTCCATTATAACCTGAAATACATTACATTTGTTATTGTGTTTTGGGAGGGGTTCTATTGTTTTTTTTCTCAGCAGGCAAGATTATAATGGTATAACTACTTTTACAGAATTAACTTAATTACTGAATTTCACAGAAACTATTTGTTTATTTTTTATAAATAAAGAACTGTATTTCTTAAG